TTTGACATAAACTGTCACCTTAGTAACCTAAAACAGTGAAGTTTCTTTTAGCTAATGCCGAATTTTCTTTTCTCTTTATCATGGCAAGCACAAGGGTTGCTTTTGTCTACCTACCCTCTTGCTGCTAGTGTTACATTTGTCATCCGGATTTTATTATTCTTGGAGCACAGTAGAAATTAAAACTGGGTGCCAAATCATGCGCTGTTTCGACTCCGTCTTTTACATTTAACTTTTTTTATTTTCCTTTCATTTCCTCGTTGTCTGATGCAAATTTCGCACGCAAATGAACACCTTAAAACACTTGCTTTGACTTTCGAGGCATTATATTTTCCCGGCGTAGTTTTAACCCATAAAAAAGACTGAACCTGGACGCAAATGAGCCTCTTTCTTTCGTCATTTCTGTCTCTTAATCGCAATTATTCCTCTCGCGCAAATCCAACCCACACAGAATGATTTTAATTTTCCGTCCTGTTTGTCTACTATCATTACCTGGTTTTGTAGTCTTTAATTACTCCTGAGAAATCCATAGTTTTGGACTCTTTAGAGTCTAGTCTCATCATGGTTACTGATTTGTTCCATTTGCTAGAGTGCAGCTGGACTATTTTCTTTCTTTAATCTCTCTTAGACTCTATTTTTCCCCAACAAAAATTCCTATCTGCGCGTATTCTTTGCATGCATTCCGCTGTCGGCCAGCTATGTCCCAACATCTGGCCTCAGTCGCCTCTGTGCACGAACCTGATTTCTGGAGAGCCCTGGCAACACCAAATTTGCATGCTTATTCATGTAATTAGGTCATGCTCTGACCAGTTGCAGGTGACCTCTATTCGTCCCGATGGCAGTCGATAAGACACGAGCCGTTAGCTATATCTTGTAAAGCCTTCGATTTTATATGCGACGATCAAAGGTATCAATTCTGTCCAGGTCTGTGATTGAGCTTTACCGACTGACGTTGACAAATGTGTCGAAAATGGCAGTTCAGGACGACAATTCCCCTAATACCATTTTACCGTACTGTTGCCCTCAGCAACCAATCGTCACTGCGTATGTTTATAAAAACAATCCTATGACATTTGGATTTTCTTGTGAGGCCCTAATTGTTACTATCGACTTAGGCATTTACCGAATCAATCGGTCGTACAGGAAGCAGTAAAGGGGGTTTATCGTTTTCTGGACAAAGTATTTTCTCAATGTAAGTGCTCCTACCGGATATTCTCAGCGTGCATTTAGGCAGTAATTCTTCATCAATCATACATGTAGGTTGACCTCCGCGG